GCCCCGGGGAGAGGGGGGGGGGGGGGGGGGAACAAGACGGGCTCGGGTCAGACTCGGGCCAAGAATTCTGATAAGCTGTCGGACCCAGGCGTGCTCCCACAGCTGCTCCCGCCCCATCAAAGACCACAATGCGGAGAACACAGTGCCTTTAGCTATTGAAACGTAAAGGTTTATTTTACTTTTTTTAGTTTGTGCTTAATATAACAGAAAACATGAGCTTTCCTGCTATGTTGGTGTTCCTAATAAATGTCACAGCAATGTGTCTTGACTATGTTTTGCATTAAGTCCGATGCTTTTCTTTCTTTTTGGAATTATTGCTTGAGAAAACACATTTCATTATGTATTTTCAAATGCCTAGGCCTATGTTTAATTCCCTTAATTATAAAATTTCTAGCATTCTTTTTAAACGTTTAGTCAAACAATAATATATTATCTCATGTATGTCTAAAATCAGGACTTAAAAATGAATTGGTTTTAAGTAAAAACGATAAACCTTTTTTCCCGTTACATTTCCCGAGTTATAAGTTAGAACGAAATAAAACATTACTTAATGAATTCAAGGCACTTTAATTTCCATATCCATTTGACGTAAAACTATTATATATAATTAATTTATATAGGCATATTTAAATATATATATTATTATATATGGGGTGCCTCAGGGCTCATTACTTGGACTGGCTCTGCACCCATTTACCTAAATTCATTACTTCAGAGTTATGTGCCCTCTAGAAGCTTGCGTTCTGCAAGTGAACGGCGTATTATTGTGCCATCTCAAAGAAGCACAAAATCACTTTCACTGACTTATATATATATATATATAGGCTACAGAATAATTTTATTTCGTCATATTCGTGATTTATGAATTTTTCATATTCATTATGTTCGTATATTGTTTATGACAAAAATTCATTAGCCTGTTTGTTATGAAGTTGATTTAAAATTCTTCATAATACATTTTAAGAAGTTAAAAGTTAAGAAAGAATTCAATTAGCCTGTGTAGGCTATAGATGTATAGGCTAATTTTCTTAAAGGGGTCATATGATGCTTTTTTAAAAATCATTATTTTGTGTATTTGGTGTAACAGAATATGTTGACATGCTTTAATGTTTTTTATTTGACTGCACATCGGGGGAAAAAAAATTCTTGATAATCTTTAAAATGAGAGAAATCACTGACATAATTTAGGCTATATTTTCTTCAAATGCAGAAAAAAATGAAATCATTTAATTTGCAGTGTTAACTTATGAATTAAATGAAAAACTAAATAAATCACAACAAGAACAAGTTTTTTTTCTTTGACAAAATTTCTAAATGAATGCTGAATGATATTTGACAGTAAACACATCTCCACTGCATACAATCGTTGGTGTCAGTCGGAAATATTAAACATGTTTTATATTTATATTTTTATATTTAATAAGGAAATAATTTATTTTCGCGTTTTTACGTTTCTTTGCATATTTATTTATTTTATATTTGCTTTTTTACATTTCTTTGTACATTTCTTTATTTCGAATTATGGCAGAGTTGGCATTCCATAGAGCAGGACTGTACAACCATTTTCTCCTGAAAGGTGCAGTAGAGACTTTTCCATTGCAAGTGGTTTAACATGGTCTTCATCCTTGAATTTGACTGGTCAAGCAGTTTCCCAAGTGTGTACTAGGAATTTTCACTGCTTTCATCACTTTTCATATTAGACAAGATTCAATCTGTGCATTTTTCACTTAACTTTTATTGACATTGTTATGCTAGTAGTTGACAACTTTGTTGGCAAGTTATGAGTGAGGAACTTTGCTGGTAAAATAAGTAGAATGTATTGACAACCTAGATTAAAAAAAGGCAACAAAGCAAGTTTAAAACAAAACTAAATGAAAACCTAATGAACTGTTAATAAGAGGTTGTCCACATATTTTTGTTCACATTATTGTGCAAATCATGGATTCAAATGACTCAGATCATTTAAAATCTGCACTGCCTTTTCAATCACAAATTTAATTGATATTAAATTAAATTAATTTTTTCTACTGGTGCATTTTGCTGTCATTTGGATTATTAAAGGATTATTAGGCTACATGTAAACATAGTTAATGTCAGCCATGCACTTATTGTCCACATCCCTCATGCTTTGGAATGGATAACATTGGATTCTGGTTGAAAACAAGGTTTAGTCAATTACATTCAAATATGATTCAGTGACATACAGTGGAGTCATATTCAAAACACTAAAGCATGCTTGATAAAACAGTCTCTCACTGTCTTCACATTTTCTCGCTGTATGTAGGTCATTCCAGTTGTCAGTTTTGGCCCACTCAGCTGGGACTATCCTGGAGACATCAGTCTAATTTTCTTTCATACACAAACACGCAAAGTCAAAGACTCAGGCAAATAACTGTTCATATTCTGCTGTAACAGCTGTGCTCAAAACTTATTTATTTTGAAAAAATGTCCACTATTGTTCATATAAAGTAGTTGGATTGACACAGTACTGTGTTGTGAGTTCTTTAGCCTGCTCTAGAAGCAGCTGTATAGAAGCTGATGCTGGTGGGTGGATTACAGTGGGCTCCTGCTGTGATAACGCATTTCCGTCACCCAAGCCGAAATCAAAAGGGACTGATTTCAGTGACAGCATTCGGCTGCAATGCTTGCAGCTTCATTGGGATTCTCATGGGATCCAATCACACTACAGAATGCAAAACCGCAGCCTCCCGGACAAAATATATCACTGTCAGTCCTAGCTGTGCCACGACAAGTCCTTGAATTGCTAGATTTTTCTCCATCTTCTCCACATCCTTTTCACTCTTTCATGTTTCATGAGAACAAAAGGGATTATGCCCAAATGCACATTTAGTCTATATATTTAAGACAGTATACTGTCTGCATTAACACTACAGCAGAATCTGTGATTACATTGAAAATCTGGAATTTAAAATATTAGGGAAAAATAAAGGTTTTGGTGTAAAATGAAGAGGAATAATGTAGGATTCTGCACTACTAACTCAATAAATTGAGCAAATTTGTGACACTGAATGTGAAATCCTTTGAACAAAAGGTCAAGATGCTCTTGGGAAAATTATCAAACAATTAAAGCAAAAGAAGCATACAAACTACGGAGAGTTGTGCAAATTTTGATTTGTTGATATGGATTATATTGAAACTGATTTTGTTTTGTTGTAAATTACAAAAATGCATTTACTCACCTTCATATTGTTCTAAACCTGACTTTTTTGCTTTGTGTGGGAAAATGCAATCTAGCAGAATGTCAAGCTGCTCTTTTCCTTATAATGTACAATGAAGTGAATAGTTACCACGGCTATTTCTGCTTTTTTCCACTTTTATTGTAAGGGGGAAAAAATAGGATGCTCTACTAAATATCTCATTTTGTGTTCTACTCAAGGAAGAAAGCCATACAAGTTTGGAGCAAATGATTATATAATTAAAATTTTTAATTGTTGAGTGAAATATCCCGTCTTTCGGATGAGACGTTAAACCGAGGTCCTGACGCTCTGTGGTCATTAAAAATCCCATGGCACTCATCGTAAAGAGTAGGGCTGAAACCCCAGTGTCCTGGCCAAATTCCCTCCACTGGCCCTTGTCTACCAGACTCAATGATTCTCTCTCCTCTCCACCTGTAGCTGGTGTGTGGTGAGCGCACTGGCGCCGCTGTCCTGTGGCTGCCGTCGCATCATCCAAGTGGATGCTGCAGACTGGTGGTGGTTGAGGAGAGACCCCCCCCACATGATTGTAAAGCGCTTTGGGTGTATAGCAATACACAAGAAAGCGCTATATAAATGCATCATTCATTCATTCCTTTAATCTGTATACAATAGTAGTAATAATAATAATAAACATACAGTTGTTGTCTTGAGAAGGGGTGGCAGTCTTTCTGTCTTTCTATCTCTGTTCATAGGGGGTGTCAGACTTTTCAAAGTCACTAGGTCTTCTAGCTCCATATTTCAGCTGTCATCTTTGATTAGCTCGTTCCAAAAACAAAAAGCTTGTTTGAACACGCTGGAAAAGGAATTGGAATTACAAGCTTTTGGTCTAGACAAGACAAAATTGTTCTTAGAGGCGACAGTGGGCCTTTTGGAGTTTAACAACTGCCAGTTTTAAAGTGAGCAAAAAAGAGAAAGAGTAAAATTTCGAGACAAAAACCTTGAACAATTACTTCATTGGTAGATAATCTTTGTTCTGTAATTTTTCTTTTTTTCCCCAACCCAAACTTACAATTAATACTTGCTTTATTAATTAATTTAATATTCCTTGCTATTAAAAAGTTTGAAATTCCTGGTCTATAGGACTCATAGCGTGGGTCTTTTGACAACACACAATAACAACTGTTCAGTTACACAAAGAAAGAAAAAAGGAAATGGGAAAAAAAAAGACAAAAATGCCTTTCATGTATGCCTTCATGGCACTTGAAATATTCAGCATACAGACATGGCCAAATGTTTTGAGAATGACACAAATATTAATTTTCAAAAAGTCTGCTGCTACAGTGTTTTTAGATCTTTTTGTCAGATGTTACTATGGTATACTGAAGTATAATTACAAGAATGTCATAAGTATCAAAGGCTTTTATTGACAATTACAATAAGTTTATGCAAAGACTCCCTTCTTTTTCAAGACCTCTGCAATTCACCCTGGCATGCTGTCAGTCAACTTCTGGGCCACATCCTGACTGATGGCAGCCCATTCTTGCAAAATCAATGCTTGGATGTTGTCAGAATTTGTGGGTTTTTGTTTGTCCACCAGCCTCTTGAGGATTGACCACAAGTTCTCAATGGGATTAAGGTCTGGGGAGTTTCCTGGCCATGGACCCAAAATGTCGATGTTTTGTTCCCCGAGCCACTTAGTTATCACTTTTGCCTTATGGCAAGGTGCTCCAGCATGCTGGAACAGGCATTGTTTAATCACCAAACTGTTCTTGGATGGTTGGGAGAAGTTGCTCTCGGAGGATGTTTTTGTACCATTCTTTATTCATGGCTATGTTCTTAGGCAATATTGTGAGTGAGCCCACTCCCTTGGCTGAGAAGCAACCCCACACATGAATGGTCTCAGGATGCTTTACTGTTGGCATGACACAGGACTGATGGAAGCGCTCACCTTTTCTTCTCCGGACAAGCTTTATTCCAGATGCCCCAAACAATCAGAAAGGGGATTAATCAGAGAAAATGACTTTACCCCAGTCTTTAGCAATCCAATCCCTGTACCTATTAGAGAATATCAATCTGTCCCTGATGTTTTTCCTGGAGAGAAGTGGGTTCTTTGCTGCCCTTCTTGCTGCCCACCAGGCCATCCTCCAAAAGTCTTGGCCTCACTGTGCGTGCAGATGCATTCACACCTGCCTGCTGCCATTCCTGAGCAAGCTCTGCACTGGTGGTGCCCAGATCCCGCAATTGAATCAACTTTAGGAGACAGTCCTGACACTTGCTGGACTTTCTTGGGTGCCCTCAAGCCTTCTTCACAGCAATTGAACCTCTCCCCTTAAATGATAAATAATTGATTTAGGTGCAATCTTACTAGCAGCATTCTCCTTGCCTGTGAATCCCTTTTTGTGCAATGATAACTGCACATGTTTCCTTGCAGGTAACCATAGTTAACAGAGAAAGAACAATGATTTCAAGCACCACCCTCCCTTTAAAGCTTCCAGTCTGTTATTCTAACTCAATCAGCATGACAGTGATCTCTAGCCTTGAAAATATCTATATGAAAATTCTTACAATTTTTGTGTTCCATAAATGTTTTTTACTTTGCATGTTTGAAATGTCAGGAAGGGGTGATTAAATCATTTTAAATAATTAAATAATACAGATTTTTCATTCTGGGGTGAACTATTTTTCTAGTTAAACTCATCAGTCTGAGATGTCATGCTTAGCACTCATAATTGCAGCTTTCCCCTATTTTGGCCAGCACTTGTGAAGCGGACGTTTATTAGTGCTGATGAGAACTCATCAAATGCGCCATTTGGGCTCCAGCTGCGGTATGATGAGGAAAGATGATTGCATGCTCTCATTTCATTCATCAACATTAGCCACAACACTGATCAGATATAACTGAGTTCACTTGATGCACCGGCCATGTATCATTTAATAATGCAGAGGGACTGTCAAATAAATTAGGAGATAATGAAAGGAGGAAGAATATAATTGCCCAATGCCACGTTTCCACTTGGGAAGTGTTAGATTTCTAAATGATAGTGTATGATCATTAATCTGTTTTTCAAAGTCAGTTATGCTTAGAATAGACTTTGAATCTCTAATATAAACACTGATTGTATTATTGATTATTGGTCTACCCTACGGTGTGCCATTAACAACGTGGTCAAAGTTACAGATCTGGCCACTGAGATTGCGTACGTGGAGTAAACGGATCACGCGTGACCACGGCATATTATGCAGGGTCACAGGGAATGCTCTAACATATCGAATTCCAATCCTGCCATAATTAGAAATAAATAAAGAAATGTACAAAGAAATGTAAAAAAGCAAAAATAAATTAATACATATATAAATAAATATACAAAGAAAAGTAAAAAAAAGCAAAAATAAATAATTATTTATAATTTTATTTCCTTATGTATTTTTTTTTTCCACATTTATTTTATTATTATTTTTTCTTTCTTTATACATTTATTTATTTCCACTTTAATTTATTTTCACATTTATGTATTTATTTACATATTTATTTCCACATTTCTTTATATCTACATTTATTTCTTTTTACATTTCTTTGTCCGATGGGTAATGAGGAGGGCGTGTTTTACCTCAGGAATAGCAATCGAGCCAGAGTAGGCGAAGGGTACGCTTTGAGGCCACAGTGACACCTTTTGGTGCCCAAACGAAGTACAAGAAGTGTAGCCTATGAAATGCCAATCCTGCCATAAATAAAAATAAATAAAGAAACGTAAAAAGAAAAGTAAAAAAGCAAAAATAAATTTCCTTATTGTATTTCCTTATTTAAAAAAAAAAAAAATTCCACATTTATTTAATTTTTTATTTATTTATACATTTATTTATTTCCACTTTTCTTTATTTTCACATATATGTATTTATTTCTTTATTTACACATTTATTTATACATTTATTTATTTTCACATTTATTTATTTATACATTTCTTTGTCTGTATGCACGCCATGCACTGAACATACAAGCATCATGCTCATCCAAACAACACCTGTCCTGTGCCCTCAGCTTTTTGAGCTAACTGCATTTTTTTAAATGTAACTTCCAAAAACAACATTGGCAGCATCAGAAACAAACCCGTAAACTGATGTCCAGGGGCATTATTTTAAAACTGTATTAAATGTATGCATCATGAATATGGAATGCCACGGTCTTAATTCCAATCGATAAATTCAGTTAAAATAAAAAAGGGCTGTTACTAGTAAAAATCCAATCAGTATCAACAAAAGCCATCAGAGCCATCATTACTGAATGCATTTACACTGCAATTAGCCTACAAATGCATACAATGTTATGAAATTAATGTTTTAAATTTTGAAGGCAGAAATGTGTCAATATGTCAATCAATTAAATGATACATTTAATATGAAACTAAAACAGACATTAGGTGGTGGCAAGCCACTGTCTTAACGAGTGAGTTCAATCCATTCAACTGATTCCTTCAAATAGGTTACGCTGATTCCGAAAACACCACTACTTGTTGCCGTGGTTCAGCTGGGGATTTGTTTCTGTGATAATTATATGTAGGCCTAATGTGTTATTTAAAAAAATAAAAAATCTTTTCATGACAAAATGATCAAAAAGATGGCAGGTAGGGGACATGTTCGGGGGAGCACGACTTCTTATGTTGAGAGAAGGACATTTATTTCTCATAGCCATGCGTTTATGCTGCCTTCACGTGCTATCGGAATTATCATAAATATGAGTTTCCTAATCGGAAATTGGACGTGAACGGCCTCTCAAGTCGTATTTACTACTGGGAAATTTGGAAATAATTTTGATACCAGAGTTTCTGAGTTGCGCGGGTCATAAACTTTAAACATGGTGGAGGGGACAACAATTGCTGCTCTCAATGCTGTTCTCACAACAACTACATCCCTTTGTCTTGTCGCTAAAGTAGTGTATTTATAGGCTAGATATGAACGATCGTTCGAAGCATATTGTATGTTTTATAAGCAGTGAAATAAGCATTTATTTGACCGAAATTCCAGAATTGTCAGCAAATTACATGTATAGCGCGGTGAATGATTATATGATTGCCAACCAATGGGATGCTACATTTTATTCTTTCTGACCTGCGTGACCATAGCAACCTTGGATATTCAGAAATGGATATTATGAATACATTAATAGGCCTATTTTGTCTTGAATTTAAGAAAGTGCAGAACTAATCATTATTATATTAACCCATACTGCACATACCATGCAGGTCAATATGTAGCCTAATATTCTTACTTTCTTTATTATTATTATTAGTAGTGTTCAGGGGCGTCATGCTTTCATTATTTTTGAGGGGGCACGAGTGAGGGGGGTTGGGGTCGGGCACGTCATTTGACACACAGCAGCCACAATTGCACTTATGTTTTATTTTATTTTTAAATTTTTATTTGAAAAAAATCCCACACGTGTTAACTAAATCACTAAATTAGGTCCGTTACAAAAATAAACATTAAAATGTATGTGCATTGAGGCTATAGAGTACACTCACTGATTTCTGAAGTCTCCTTAGCCTGGATAAAACTAGCTGTGTTTGAGCAGTTTTTATTATCAGTAGGCTAGCTCAAATTTAGGCGATCGCACGTGTTATGTGCCAGTAGCCTATGCTTCAAAGTCTGAAAAATTTGCAGGATTTGTTCATTTCCTTCGGGAAAATCCCTATAGGCTACACAGTAAAATCCTGAGTGTTAAATTAACACTGCTCGGAGCATATATGGTCCCACTCTAAAAGAGTGTTAAAGTAACACTGAAGCAGTGTTAAAGTTAATGAGATAATTATGTGATTAATTAAGTGCTGATTGATCATTAGTAATGAACCGCTGCTGTTAACTAGCAGATTCACTGAAGAAAAGAGAAACACAAGAACTACAACTGACTTCAGCCAACGCCTCTGATAAGGCTAATAACATGATATGCAGCAGGCCAACGTTATACCAAGCAGTACCCTATACATTTGGATGTTCTCACATTTAGATCTAACATTTAGGCTAAAATAGCCTATAACGTTAGATATTTAAAATATATTTTTTTTAATAAGAAATCCCTACTTTCTCTCTTTTCTATGTGCGTTCATATTATATTAATTTGTAAATGTCATATTTGGCATTTGGCATTAGAAGTTATATTACTAATAACATATGAGAAGTTTAATACCACAGAAAAAAATAGCCTTTTTCGAAGCTGCTGTATATAAAAAACACAAGGTGGCTGAATTTGCATGCTATTTAGATAGCTGAAGCTTATAGACGTTCATTACTTTCACTCAATTAAATTTTTCACTCTACTTCATATGAAGAGTTCAGATGCAAAAGCCTCTAAGTGCCGTTTGAAATTTTCTTCTAAAATGGGCATTTTTATCAGGCTACTATAGGTTCAGTAATTTCACTTTAATGGCAATGAATAGTTTATTTTCTTTCCCATTAAAGTAAAACTGAACATAAACATAGGAGCCTGAGAAAATAACCATTTTAGAAGAACATTTTAGATGGCACTTAGAGGCTTTTGCATCTGAACCATTCATATAGGCTATAACTACAAACCTAGAACTTATTTTAGCATTCTTATTTACTTATTTAATTGCTTTATTATTATTATTATTATTATTATTATGAAGTAGATCTTACAATTCTTATGAGCGTGTGCGTGACCGTGATTCGTGCTCAAGCATGTCCGTGAGCACAGCATCACAATCGATCAGATGCGTGTTAAAGTTGTGTTCGTTACTATAGCAAAGAAAATAGTTTCTGATGCTGTCAATGTTGTTTTTGGAAGTTACATAAAAAAAATGCAGTCAGTTCAAAAAGCTGAGGGCACATGACAGGCGCTGTTTGGATGAGCATGATGGTTGTATGTTCAGTGCATGGCGATAAATAACCCGTGATATAAGATTTTGGCCATATTGCTCAAGTCATTCATCCCACACTATCAACAGGTGCGTCATGTAGGCTACACTTCTTGTACTTCGTTAGGGCACCACAAGGTGTCACTGTGGCCTCAAAGCTTACCCCTCGCCTACTCTGGCTCGATTGCTATTCCTGAGGTAAAACACGCCCTCCTCATTACCTTACAGACAAAGAAATGTAGAAATAAATAAATGTGAAAATAAATAAATGTGGAAATAAGGAAATAAATACATAAATGTGAAAAGAAATAAGTGGAAATAAATAAATGTATAATTAAAAATAAATAAATAAATAAATGTGGAAAAAAAAAAATACATAAGGAAATAAAATGATAAATAATTATTTATTTGAGCTTTTTTACTTTCTTTGTATATTTATTTATTAATTTTTGCTTTTTTACATTTCTTTGTACATTTCTTTATTTCTAATTATGGCAAGATTGACATCCCATACTAGCACAGGAAAGACATGATCAGTAGGGGGCAGTCATGTAACTTACTGTACTGAAGCGGCAGAGAACGTTAATCACGGCGAGTCTATTGAAATTTAGTGCGTTTACTACGCGAAGGCCAATAACATATTCATGATTCTTTTATCAATAGTATTATCACGTGTTTATCATGACAGTTTGATCACTGAAAAATCATTTCAAAAGTATTACTCTACAGCCTTATTTTTTTTTATTATCATGCTTCGCTATAGGTTGTGGATTATCTAAAATCACAATCTAAAACATATCTTAATGTGGTAAGAACTACGATCAGAAAACCAACATAAAAAAAAATCGGTTTAATTTAAAAGTTTAAACGTCCCGTGTTGCTGGCGAAGGCCGTTTACAGTAAGAGAACAAAAAAATTAACAAAAGAACATTTTTATTTTCAATCGCGAGAGAGTGGCGTACACTGTAAAAAATAAGTGTCATTTTAACTGTAAAATTTTGTAAAAACGCTACTGAAAAAATCTGTTAATAGGTTAACAGTAAGTTCCCGTACTATATACAGGGAAAAACTGTAAAATATCTAACCAGACATTTCATGTAATTTTACAGTAAAATGTTAATACAATTAAAAGAAGTCATTTTTCCACAGTAAAGCCCTGAAACACATATTCCAAAAAAACACAATAAAAAAGACAATAAAACCATTTGTTTAATGGAACACTTCTTCTCCAGCATGGGTTAGAAAGGTACTGTTTTATGGCAAATTTTCCCACTTTGCATCTCCAAAACAACATCTTCTATTTCTCCTCTTTGCAAAGATATCAGTACTACATCACACACATCACATGCATGTCCAAAATCATGACCATTACCCATGATCATCATTGATTTGTACAGGGTTACAATGGACAAGGGTTGCTTTGTCTTTTTTTTTTACACCAAGGATTTTGTACCTCAGAAAGTCACTTGAGGGATAACAATGTTGCAATGAGATATTTTACACTGGCATTGTCCCACAACCAGACAGAAAGTAAGGTATCAAGGTCCCCAGAGTCCTATTTGCCTTCTCCCTATGCTTACCGTATGCTTAAGTGTGCTTCAAATCACATAACTCGGAAATGGGTTCATTTTGACTCAGTGTGTTTGAGCTTTTAAAGGATTTTCTGTGTAAAATCACTGTTTTCTGTTCAAGATTTCTCAGATGTTGTTCTGTCTCTGTGTTTTGCCATTCTGATTTTTGTTTTATACATAGTATTCCTTGTCCTTGTCTTTGGGTCTCTTGATGCTGGCACCCTTAGTGTTGGGCTGTTTGTCTTTGACTACTGTGCCATTATTCTGTGCAGAATTGCTAATGTAGTTCCGTGTTTCATCTACCTGATAGGAGCCCTCGTCCCTGTTCCTGTATTTGTACATGGCATAGAGGAGGATGAGGATGCACAGGGCGGCAGCAGAGATGATACCCACCACCATACCCGTAGTGCTGCTGGACTCACGTATTACCTCTGAGGCACCAGGAGGCACTCTCCTGATACCTGGCACGGTGGGCAGAGCACTGGGGATGGTGCGCAACATGGGCTGGGTGATGTACGGCCCCTTCGGTTTGGTGCCATCCATGTCGAAAGACGTGGGGAGTGGTAGTAGCACTATGTCCGGTTGGGGTTTGATTTCACGGTTGTTCATTTTCCCAGCTGGGATTTTAGGAGCTGTCTCGAGCGTGACGGGTGATGCAGCTGAGCTCCTGAAGTCAGGCAGAGGCGGGATGGCCGTAGTCCTGCCTGGCTCAGAGGCCTTGCTAGGTTTAAAGTCCTTTACTTCCCACTTTGGCGCGAGAGCTTTGTAGCCACCTTCGTAGGTCGACGTTGTCAAGATCTTATCTGTTACCAGGGAGAAGGTGGTGTAAAAATCTTCATCATCAGTAGGGGGGAGGCTAGAGTCGAAGGTCTCCCCAGAGCCAAACCCCGATATCACCAAGCCATCACCATCATCGTCACCATCATCATCATCACAATCATCGCTGCCTTGGTCCGACAAGCAAGGTACCCCCGCCTCGGTGACAATTGACAGGGACTCTTTGGTGGTCTCAATAATGGTGAGGACGGGGTGAAGGGTCAGGGGAAGGGGGATGAAAGGGGCTCGAGTGGAAACAGGGGGGATGTCTATGGGATCCTCAACTAGAACAGGGATAACTAACTCCCCTCCTGGCAAGCAGAAGAAAAAGAAAGGAAATTAGTGTCCATTCAAGTCTGGCTGCTTCCAAACAAGCAACTGTACATGACCAAAATAAAGCAAAGCAAGAACATTTGGAAAGAAATATGACAAAAAAAACAATGGCCAAAACAAACCAAGAAAGAACTGAAAGAGAGAAGAGAAATATAAAAATGCGAGATAAATTTATCAAAAGGCTTGAAGGGACATGCAGGGTCTTGAGCTTTCTTTTTGGCATACTCTGTTTAATTGACCTCTACACAGAACACCTATTACTCACAATTATTGCACCCCTGCAACTTAGAGTGACTGAAACAAAAGCGAACCTTGAACATCTTTGTTTTGCTATGTGTACAGGTGAAAGTACAAAGCTGAGCTGATCCGTTTTGAGCAACTGCTCACATTGTGAATTCATTTAGGAAATGTATGCCTAAGCATCCTGTTGGATCAACGAACATAAGACCAATGAAGAGCGTAATATATGGAACACTCCCAAAAAATGATTGTATTGAGATTTCTAATTTTCTGAGCGGCTTATCAAGACTGTAGAGAAAATTACTTTATTTCTTTTCTCTTTCAAGTCTGTCACACTTGAGATGAAAGCCAATTGCCTTTTGACAGTTCTTATGAAATTGCCACAATGGCACAAGTCACATGACAGTTCAACAACACCTGAATGTTTAGTCTCTTATGTGAACACTATAGGTGCGTTCGACTTCATGCAGCACTGCGCAGACCGATCGGCGGCTGACTTGAAACAGTGCATGCCGTTTAGAAATTTAGTCCGACTTGAACCGGCGCCGACGCCATGTCTCTGTCACATGTGGCATACAAAGTACAATAGCGTTTCGAGAGCAGTCGGCTGACTCAGCTGGCGCAGCTTTTTCAGAGTGACTGCAGGAGTGCTGATGACGACACAGCTGTTTCAGATTGGCCAAATTCACCACATGACAACAATGACATGTGTTTCTAACATCTTCAAATCCAATACTGCTCATAAATCTGTGTTTTTAGAACAGAAAAAACTATTTTACTGTAGTTGCAATGTTATATTGAGTCACGTTTATCATGAAAGCATATACCCCCACTTTATTAGTATTTAAATAGTATATATTCATGTTGAACTTTATTCTTGAACAGATGGCGCTGTATTAAGTAGTATATAAAAAGTGTTTCTGTTGCTCATGAAAACGTTTCTGAAACGTCTGTGTATTTGACAAATATTGCATTTAATTCACTTCATCTGTGATAGAGTATGCAAACACCGCGTGAGCGTCACTAACGGGAGCAGAAATGTTCGGCTTGATGGCTCCGTTTTCAACTCCGCCCCGACTGTAAGCAGCTACTCTCGTTGATCGCCGTCTGTAGCCGTGCTTCAAGTCGAACGCACCTTATGTCATACCATATGTTATATGATTCACATCACTCAGTTTGACAGAGACAATTTAATTTTTGAGAACATAAACACATTGGGATTCACATTGACATTCATTTTTGGCAAACTATTGCATTTAGCTTGATTTACTGAATAAGGCCCAATGTTCTTATGATCGATTACACAGGAACATGTTCTGGTTGTTTTTCATGAAGGAGATCTATTATAAATTGGAATTGTTCTTGAAGTTATTATAATTTTTTTTTACAAGTCAATTATTCTGCTAAAATCTGCTAAAACTTTCGCCAAGGTGGCTTTGCTGTTTACAAACAGAGGGCACTATAAGGCAACACAGGTCTTAAACAATGGACCAAAAGAAATAAAAGGAGAGGAAAGAAAAATAAAAGCAATGCAAAAAATGGTTAATGGTTATAGCAAAGCACTAGAAACATTCGCAAACCAAATGCACGGAGAGTCAAAAAGAGAGTAGTAAAGTACATACAAAGAAAATGAGTCTAAAAAATAATAAGCCCATAAAACAATTCATCAAAAGGTGGAAGCATACCATCAGTTCTGTGACTTACATCAACAAATTGCCCGCATGATTTTGGCAGGAAGAAAAAATTTACAAAAAATTAAGAAAGTTGTGTAAGAATGCTTGGGGATAAGTATGGTAAATCTGTAAGGATTTAATTAGGCAATCAATTTATCCTCTGATTATATACATCATATATTTTTTTTCTTAGACAAGATGATACAGGGAGGCAACAGCACATTCACACCATGACATGAAAAATAACTTCACCATTCTGCTCATTTGTTCTTTCTTTTGATAAATAAATCCTTTTCTCTACAAAAGAAAACTGTACATTTTCTTTTTAAGATAATTTTGCTTTGAAGTATCTACAGATACATATTTTCTTTGTTCTTTTTTAAAATGAATTCTTAAACAACTGAATGACTGTACATACTGTACCGTTGCTAAGAGGAGAAGGGGGGGGGACAAAAGACAGAGAGAGAAGGGAGAAAGAGAGCGAGAGAGAGAGAGAGAGAGATGAGGGAGAGAGGGAGGCCTATGAACAGACTAGGTAGGAAATGACATAGATGGAAGTGAACGTGTACATCAGTTGCCATGTCCATGTAAGGGCGGTACGAAGCGGTCGGGTGGCAATAGAGCTTTGGGCTGTAAGGAAGGGATGGGAATATATACAAACAATGAGCATATACATGCCCATCTACCAGATCATATAGCACTCTCAAGACTGACACTCTTACAGACCCTAAGCTGCAACTTCTGTCCCATGCAGTTTCCATTTTGGAATTTAGAAGTCAGATTTCAACTGGAAAAATGTTGACCAATATTTAAATGACTTTGAACATTTGGAGTAGATAGTGGTGAGGAATTAGCATCTTATAATTTTTTTCTCTTGATAAATTATGTATATGTATAAATATATGTATGGCTGTATATACAGTTACATAGTTCTCAAATGCTTTTGAATATAGACTTAATATTGACCAAGCTAAACAAGAAAAAAAGAGAAACTAAACAAGAATCAGTATAGAAATCATAAAAGAATATATAACAATGTACTGTTATTTGAACTTTGAAGGAGAATTCCATCCAAAAACCATTGCCAAAGATATGCTGAGAGCAAAACATCTGGATCACTTCATAATCAGACAGCTCATGGTCATATTTTATTACTACCTAATTTTAGTGACTGACTTTAAAATCCAAGTGTTTTATTAATTATTATTATTATTATTATTATTGATTATCTAATCAAGCACAAAATGTTCCAAATGCCTCTAGTCAGCATACTGTAAAAACTATATGGAAATACAGCATTTTGGATTGAATTCTCTTTTGAATAATTTTATATAAAACAACTATATATATATATATATATATATATATATATATATATATATACTGTGTATATATATATATATATACAGTAGATAGCTATATACATATATAAATATACACAAACCAGAGGGTATATATGTATACATGTGCAATAAAAACACATAGAAATACCAGAAAATTCTCACACTATCAAGATTAAAATAATCAGAAAGCACATAATGAAACAAAGGAGGGACACTGTACCGTCACCACCTTCGCAACTAATAATACCATTATTAGTTTTCTTTTGTAAATCTCTTGTTAGTAGCTTGACAGCACAAAGCAGGGGTATATTTCAGGAAAAGAGGGAAAATCACTTTTTTTTAGATTTTCACTGCAAGGTGAAATCATGCTTTTTAACAAGTTGCATTTAGGGAAAGTAGAATCACAGCACTGCAAGCTGGGATCAGAAAGGCTGAGAACAGGGTTACAGGATATTGAGAAACTTGTGGGCAAAAGGCTGTGGTATACTGTATACACCTGTACCTACTTGAATCATACAGGTGAATCAACAAAATCTCAATCTCAATACAAAGATAAAGACCTACTGATCTTATGACCGTTTGAGCATAATGTTAATCCTGAATGCATCAAGCCAATTTAGAGCAGAAATATTTGGCAGAAATCATTGTATAACCAACAGCCGTTCGCTCAACATTAATGACAATAAAGACTGGGAATTCCACAAAATGCCATCCTAATAAGACAGATTTTTTTTCTAAAATGTCTCTAACAGATATATTGAAAAACCATAATTCATTTAAATAAATATATTTCGGTTTGTATGTAGGACATGAGAGAGATTAATATCTCGTGTGGCTGACCAGTCGTTTTTTAAAATGTTTTATATATAGTTGATTCTGCCACTGATTACCTGGTGAGCTGGGTGGCATGCAATTTAATGACTGCAAAAATTGACTATTTACTAAACCTACGAAACCCTAGCATAAATTAGTTTACCAACTGAAACTAGTATCGCAACTGGCAAAACCTGGTCTCATGGCAAAATCGTACCTGGGGGCACTTTTTCGTGAGACGCGAAATACGTACCAATAAGTACATATCACTGCAGTTTCCAAAAGAAATGAACACTAGAGGCAGTAAAACTCCGACACCTTTTATTCCTTTTCACACAAATTTACAGAGTTTCGATTAATAAAGTGTAATTTTCGCACAATTACTTGAAGAATATTATGTTATGACTTCAAAACAATTTTAATATGCTGGGAGATTTGAAAACTGATGCTTTTGAATGTTAGCATCGCACATATCCAGCTTCATATCTATGGGTTTTCACAGACGGTAGGTTTGTTCGGTAGCTCACGGAGTACGGCGATGTACTTGAGAGGTGAGGAGCTCCGGTTTGAATCCCGTGTAACTACGGTTCGACAATCTGCATATAAGGAAGTTCAAATGGCACGGTTGCATCAACAAATGTGTTTTTATATCAGTTTTGCATTTGTTAACACTATCGGGTAGGTTTAGGGTTGGGTTTGGTGTAGGACATATTTCCAACATGATAGAGAATGAACTTTTAACGACAATCCCTGGATATTTGAATTCTGAACCGCCGCAATACGTACCTATATCAACGTAATAAAAACGTGCCAGGGTTCACGTATTGAACCCATGTTTTAGCACCACTCAGTGGACATTTCTCTTTGAAACTGCGGTGAAACGTGCAGTAAGGTACGTAAGTGCAAGGA